CCTTATTAATATTACACTTAAATCTAATAAAAATTTTATACTACAATTTTAATTATCACATTGATTCCTTTTATAAGTTTGAACATTAATCTAAATATAAATAAACTTTAATAAGAGCCAATGATGTTAGTCCTTAATTGAAACTAAAATTGTGTTGGTAGTATAAATTGTATTAAGGGTCCGTTTGGAAAGCAGGAAAATAACTTCTGGAAAATGGGTCATTTTCCTTTCCTGTGTTTGGCTGCACAATGGAAAACTATCTTTTGGTGTTTGGTTCATTTTCCAGAAAATGATGGAAAACTGTCTTTTGGTGTTTGGTTCATTTTCCAGAAAATGAACAGAATGGTATACTTAAACAGTTTAATTATTATATACCAAAAAATATATTTTTATTGTTGTTTGTAGAATATAACAATTTTTATATAAAGTAATTAATTAATTTGATTGCAAATCAATAAAAAGATAATATATAAAATTTCAGTGCGGTGTAACATAATCCAATGTTCTGTAGCTAAACTCCATTTTTACTCCCAACCGAAACCACTCCAAAATCTTCCGTCTTCCGCTGTCCACGGCTGCCGCAGAGCACCGAAAGCTCTTCCTAGTGAATCAAACTGTAACACCCCGTGTTACGGCCTTCAATCGCGAATTAATTATTTAATTAATTCTGTTAATAATAATTAAAAAGTATTTAATTTGATTAGGATTCCCTTTAATTAATTAATATGGTCCACCATGGATTGTGGACCCTTTCCTAAACTAGAGTTTTAAGCCCATTAGAAATAAAGAGGGTAAACCTTTTACTAGTCAAATTCTAATTAGGAATCCTAGACCTATATATCTATTAGGAATAAAGAAAGTAGGCCTATATTATTCAGATTATGATTAGGATTCCTGATTCTATAAATAGGGGATTAGAAAGCAATTAGAAACCTTACCACCCATAGTTATACTACACGAAAATATTCCCGGGAGATTCCCCACCATCGAGCCTAGGGAGATTAAGCGGATGGAAATTTTAGGGAAGAACCTTAATAGCCAAGGGGGGATTAATTAAGGCTAAGAGGTAACCCATGTCTCAACAAAACCTATTTTTCGCTATAATCTCCTTCCTTGACCTCCTTCTATATGCTTGTGTCTTGATTAATACCTCTATGCTGTTTGTGATATATTCTTGATGATTGATAAGATGATTTGTGTGTATTCTTGATAATCTTGATGATGAAAAGAGGTTCTTGATATTGATGTAATGATTCTTGACAAGTCTTGATATTTCTTGATGTTAAAGATAAATTGTGATTTTGATGATTTGGGAGGGATTAGAGCCCTAGGATGGATTGGGAATTTGTATTCTAATGTTCTTGATATATATTGGGTGGGAATTCGCATGTTCGGGTGTTGTTTATGTTTAGAAGTCGTGATAGGATGAGTTATACATGATTCTTGCCTTTGATCCATTAATTGACTACGTGGTGTCGTTAATTGCGTTTAAAAGTGTCTAAGCATGGTTTCGGGTTCCACAAAGGATCCCGGGACGAGTTTGTGATGAAAGAGTCAGTGGGGGGTAGGTGGGGGTAGGGTACCCGCCACCTACCCGCTGCCCGAAGATCACCACCGGGCAGTGGCAGGCGCCGGGCAGACGTCCGCCCGCCGGCAACCCGCTGCCGGGCAGTGATCTCCGGCGGGCAGCCGGTGGGTGACCGTCCACCCACCGGCTACCCGCTGGTTCGTTACCCACCCCGGGTCCTCGGCTTCCCCGTTTGATGTTCCCCATTCCCCGTGGTGTCCCAACGGACCTCGTTTGTCGTGCTTGAGTCTAGTTTGATGTTTCGGGTGCCGTTCGTAGGATAAAAGAGTTTTAGGAATTGCATGCTAGTTGAATCGGTAACCTGTTGACCTAGGTGGAAGTCGTATGAACCCCTTAGGACTATTCTTAGTATGTGAATGATCACACGTAAGCTTAATTATATGTCTCCCCCTTCCCAATGTGCTATTATGTGCTATTGTGTGTTATGTGATGCATGATTCCCCAACTTAGTTGCGATCAAGTTGGCTATACGGGCAGTTGAATGAGCTGAGAACCATCCCAACTGTTAACCAGGCCGGTTAAGATCGGTCAGGTATATAAATAATATATAGGGCTGCGGTCCACTATACGGGCAGTTGAATGGGTTGAGAACCATCCCAACTGTTAACCAGGCTGGTTGAGATCGGTCAGGTATATAAAGATTATATAGGACTACAGGTCCACATGGGCCTCTGTGATATGACCCACCGACCTGGACGCGTCAGGCGGTGTGTAGGGCCAATAAGCCGAGGAAGGCTGTAGTCCACCGACCTGAGTAATCAGGCGGTGTGTAGGGCTACGGCTGGCTGCGATCCACCGAGTGATGGGACAGCGGTGTGTAGGGCCGTAGTCTCCGAGGATCTTCGCCCACCGACTGAGTCCCTCAGCGGTGTGTAGGGCTTGATCCGCTACGGTCCACCGACTGTACGCATCAACAGTGTGTAGGGTTGTAAGTCCCCCCTTGTAAAGGGGATCACGGTCCACCGACTGTGCGCGTCAGCGGTGTGTCGGATTGTGGTCCGACGTTGAGTTCGTCAGCGGTCCTCTATAGGTTGGTTGCGATCAACTCCCTTCATGCCGCGGTATGAGGTAGGGTGCTGCGGGGCCGTGTTAATGCTATACGCATTAACTCTCATGTTCGGGGCATGCGATTGGTCCCGTGGCGCCAGCTCAGTGTGATTGAGTGTCACAAATGATGATTGAATGATGATTGAATGATGATTGAATGATGACATGATTGATGTGGAAATAGACTGTTACCTTAGTTGCGTATTCTTTATGATGATTCTCCTTAACTATTATTATTAAGTGTGTGTTTACCCTATTTGCTGAGTCCGTTCCTGTTTTAAAACTAGTGTCTCTTAAGTATATATCTTCCTGCTTCAAAATGATTTTCGTATATCTATATATATCTATCTATAATGTATTTCAACGCGTTGGAGTGGGTTACCAGCATCTCTCGCTGAACAGATATATTTGGCTTTCAAGCACAGATGAGTAGACCCCGGAGCGCGCTAGAGATCCGAAGCGTAGATTAGTTAGTTTTCCTTTCGGTCTGCGTGTCATGACTATGTATTGACATTGCTTGAGGATATTTAGTTAGTTTAGCTTGTGCATCTGAGTTCTCCAGCTCAGATGTGGCATATCACTCCGCACTCTTATGGTTTTGGGATTTAATGAGAATTTACCTTTATTATATAAGTTTCAAAAGTTTCAAAATTTCAGGGTGTTACACAAACCGCATCGGAAACCAGTCGGAAACCAAATTCCGCATCGGAAACTAGTGAATGGTTTCCGATGCGGAAAACCAGAGCCACTGGTTTCCGCATCGAATGGTTTCCGATGCGAAAAACCAGAGACTCTGGTTTTCCGCATCGTAAACCATTCACTGGTTTCCGATGCGAAAACTAGAGCCACTGGTTTCCCCAGCCGGAAATCAGTTTGGTTTCCGGCTGGGGAAACCACTGAAGAAGAACATTTTTCGGCTGTGGGTTTTCCTCCCCACAATCGGAAAATAATTTTGGAGAAAAAAGCTGAATGTTGAAGGAAGAGGTGAAGTTGGGAGAAAGAGCTGGGAAGGTTTTGCTGCGTGTATGTTTAGATTGGAAGATGGAAAATGACTTCCCCTCAAAAAAAGGGGAAGTCATTTTCCTGAAAAAGGGGCTCATTTTCCATTGACCAAAAGACTATTTTTCATTGACTTTTAGTTTTCCTTGTTTCCAAATACTAGAACCCTGGGTTTCCAAACACACCCTAAGTGTTTGCTCATTAAGTTATTTGTGTTGTTCCTTTTCAATCTTTATAAACAAAAAACTAAGACAAATAATTGAGTATAACTAGACGTAATCATGGTTTGATTTAGGTTCCGAACTATCGGTTCACGATTATAGAAAATGACAAATCGAAATTGACGGTTCGAGTTTGAACTTTTTAAAAAAAGAAAAATTCTATTTTTAATTTTTAAAATACTCTGAAGACAACAATTAATTTTTTTTTTTGAAATTTTTTATATAATGGTTATATCAAATATTTAAACTTTACACTTAGACTAAAAAATAATACTTTTTGACTTAGAACTTAATTTTTTCAATATTAAGTTGCTTACGTATCTTATCGAAATTTTAATAAGAACCAAAATCCATGTAATTCTCTTACATTGTTCTTTGTGTATTTTGTAAAAGTCATTGACTTCCTCTTCGATAACATTTTTTGTTCGACTTAAAACCGAAAACACCCGGTCCCGATTAAAAATCGACGATTCTAATTCCCAAATTTATCAAATTGGAATCAAAATCTTTTGAGTTTTGGTTCCAATTCGATTTGAACTAGACGGTTCAAATCAAACCGTAGTCATCTCTAAGGGTGTGTTTGGAAACATGAAAAATGTCTTATGAAAAATATTTTTCAAAAAATGAGTCATATTACAGAAAATATTTTTCTTTCCAATGTTTGGTTGCATTTCAGAAAACTGTTTTACTGTGTTTGGATTATTTTCCAAATAATGAGCATAGTTGTATTTAAAAAAATCATTATATATATATATATATATATATATATATATATATATATAAAAGCAATGGTTTCATTAAAAAAAAAAAACAAAACAACTGATTTCCGAAGCCAGAAACTAGATAATTGGATTTCTAACAGAAACTAGTAAATAATTTTCGTTGGAAACCATTTAATCTAGTTTCCGTTGGGAACTAGAAATTGAGAACAAGAAAAAAGTTGTTTTGTGTTTTTCAGAAAATGACTTTTCAACCAAAAAAAAGAGGAAGTCATTTTTAAAAAAAAAAAACTTATTTTCCCTTTGAACGAAAATCAATTTTCATTGACCACCATTTTCTCCTTTTATCAAATACTAGAAATCCAAAAAATAATTGAAATCATTTTCTCCAGTTTTCAAACACCGCCTAAATATAACTACAAATATACAAGTACCCTGATAACCCGAACCCGAGTCCGGAGCTGAAAACCCCAGCAAAACCCTGATCTGAAACCCTTCTGTAGCAAGGAGGAGAAAGTGAGAGACTTTCCTTTCTTCACTTTTCTGGCGCTTTGGTGTTTCTCCTCCTTTAATCCTCCATTTCAACAAACACCTGCTGTGCAACTTTGTAAAGCGGGCCAAGAATGGGGAAAGTAACCAAATCGTCTGTTCTGACTTTAGCTGAGAAATGCAAGGTTAAGACGTCTTTTAAGGTTCATTCTTTCCCTATTTTGTTTTACCTTGTGAGAATTCTAACTTTAATTTGTGTGTTTTTGCAGAAAATATTAGCATCAAATTGGCAAGGTAACCTTAACACCATTAAAGCTGATGCTAAGGGAAGGTAATTAGAATGTATCTGATGTATAACTGATATTAATTTTGTATTTTTCATGTTATGGGATAAATTTGAGCTATGAAGCAATACTCATTTAACTTCATATATATGTTGTTTAAATTTTTTTCAGCAAACAGGATATACACAGTTCTAAAGTTAAGTATTTTGTCAAGAAAGGGAAACCGTACATATGGGTACCTGAGAAGGACTTGCATAATGTGGTATGTTTTCTGTCTTCTTGTGGAATAGACTGTATTGACTGTGAAAGTGTGGATATACAAAACTACTTGCTTTAACCACTTGTCACCCTTAGTACTCAATGTCGAAGCAATTCTGGGCTGTTTCATGTGAATTCATTTGTTAGGTATAGTGTACTTGGTATCACGTACTGCAGACTTAGTTTGCCACTTTGAATGTGTTGGATCTGTAACTGAGATTTCCTTATTAATTAACCTATTCTAGTGGAAAAATTAGTTTAGTAATCTAGACAACGATCTAACTGAAAAGGGCATCTTTTAAAAAATTGCCAATGTGTAAAATTTTGGTTTTGGACCCAAGTTGGTGTGAAGGGGAAGCAACTATGTATACGTGATATGATACGCTGCATATAAGGAGAAAAAAATGTATTCATCCATATGCTCCTGCTAGGCTGCTACTACTAAATGATTTAGCCTGCTATGTCCTCTGATAAATAGCATGCCTTCATAGTTTTGACACTTGGCATTTCTCTCTTTGCAAGTGTGCTTCATGTTAACAATCTTAGATTTCAATAAGAAGTTTACTTCTGACAATTAGACTTATCTCTATGAGTTGCTTAGCTTAGGTATGGAGTCGTCCTTTGAGGGGCATAACTTTTTCCTTTTTAATAAGAAGAGCATAACTTTTACATAAAATGAGGGGATGCTATGAGGTCAAAGGGTAATGTAGTGGAGTTTATCATATCTGACTTCTCAAAATTCTGGTTCCTTAGACATGCAACTTTAAAAGGCTGCTCAAAGATGTCTTGATAATGACCTCAAAAAGATCCGTCCCTACCAGTTTTCACTTCTGCTGTTTGTTATCCCAAATGATTTATTGTTTTCTGCATTTCTACACTCCAAACTGCCAAATTGGTATTTATGTCACTTTCTGCTCTGTATTAGAGAGTAATCTATACAGCAAGAACCCACAAATTAATGCTAATTCAGGATAACAATTATATGAAATGACTTGTGGATGATATCAATTAAAAATTTATGATACGAATCATATTAATCCAGTTTGTTTGTTTTTTTTTTTTTTTTTTTTTTTTCACAAGTTTGCACATACCTGAGGAAGTTGAGTTTCTTTTTTGTGCAGAACACAATCATTGATGAGCGTGGTTCTTTCTCAGTAACGGCTCCTTTCCCTGGCCCACTTGCTAATCTGTTTATGTCGATAAAAAGGGTCTCTTTCCTTGAATAGCTGATTTTTATAACATTTTGTTGGCTTATTTCCTGATCTATAATGTGTGGATGTGCAATTTCTTGGTGAAATTTTATTTCAAACTAAGAAAAACTCTTTGTCATATATACAGCTGCCAACTCGGGTTGCTCTGATGGGTGATGTCGTGCCTCTTAAAGATAAAAAGGTTGTACACAATATCTCTCACTTAATAGATTAGTTAACCGCTTCGTTGTGAACTGTGTAATTTGGCAGTACTGCTTTAATTTCTTTTTTCTTTTCTAGAAATCAATTGTTCGTGGACTCTTTATTACTCTAAATTTCATTTTCAATAATTACTATTTTAAAAAGTCATTCCTGGTTTACCCATGGCTAATAGTTTTCCCTCCTGCATGCAAATACGATTTGCTAAGCAGAGGATAACCTATCTTTTAATCCTGTAGAATGTGATAAGCACGTTCTATTGAATCAAGGAGACATTGGACAAATTATCTTGCTATGGGAAGAGGTACTAATGTACTATTATCTTACTCTGTCTTCTTCTTGACTGCAGGCTGAATTGGCTGCAGATACCCTTAGGGAGATTACATCATCGGAGCATAAAACAGTAAAGGATTCAAGTTATTCAGTTTCTGCTATATTGAGTACATCTTGTCTCAGTTATACCTCCCGTAGTGACAACCTCCAGGAGTTACTAGATGAGAATAACAAATATAGTGTGTACAAATTTAATATAAGGTATCAAGTTCTCAGTTCTGCCTTGTTATAGCACAAATTTAATATAAGGTATCAAGGGAATAATCATTTTTTTAGACTCCCCTTACTTCCTAGTGGCTCTGGAACTAAATCTGGCCTGGCAGCTTAATTATAACTTCTGGGGAGAGCTCATAAAATATTGAAATAAAATATAACCATGAGCTAATTAATACATAAGCTTATGTGCTCTGCAGTTCTTGCATGTATATTGACAGCAATGGAGGTAACCATGAAGTGGCTCTAGAGGATATTGAAGCATCAAAGACAGATCCTTTATGTAAGCTCCTAGCTCCTGTAGTGGTTATGCATAAATAATTGTTAAGAAGCAGAACAGTGTTTTTGCTTGGCATTTTCACTTTACATGATATGTTTGTTATCTTCAGCGCCTTTCTGTACAAGCCTGATTGATGGAATTAATCGAAGTGAGATGAGGCGCAGAGCTTTAATCCTCTTCTGTATGACGCACTTGAATGAAAATGCCAAGGTAATTCTGCCAATGAGTTATAAGTTTGATTGCAATTGCACTCTTTTTTTTGGGTTTCCTGTTGGCATAGTAGTGGACAGATATGTGCGAATTATGTCTTGTCTTCATTGTTAGGTTAAATTGCTTCCTATAGAGCCATGTATGAATGCATAGAGAGAGAAAATATTCTTATTTCTTAGCTTGAAGTTGAGTTGGATGTAAATTTTCCATCTCACACTTGTCACTTCCCTTTCTCCTCTATCCTGTCTGTCAAACCAGGGATGCCATGAAATACATAATGAAGTGAATCCATGCATAAGTTAAGTTATCTGTGATTTTTTTTGTGAAGGATGCCTTTCTGCTTTCAATAGACCGAAGGGGATTTGATGTGCTGGGAAAAGTTCTCGGTCCAGTGCAGGGTGATGGGTCTCGTGAGTACCGGTGGAAGGAGTTCAGAATTGCACTCAAGAAAGAGGCAGCCGATGTAGAAACATTCTGTCATCAGCTAGTTGAAATGGAAGAGGAAGCACTCAAGAGCGTGTCTAGTTTTACCGGCCTATGATCAATACTTTTGCATGGCACACGAGTCGCAGATGAAAGTAAGATGCAACAAAGTTAAAATAGACTCTAATTGAAGTTGGGAAATATTTGTACATTATAAATCTGGTTGCTATAGGAAAGAAATGCGTATTTTATGCAATGGATTATTTTTTTGGTGTAAACCACGAGGTATTTCGGGTCTATCTCCGTCTATCTCACCCAACTAATCCTCGTTCGCTCGGCATGAGAGCTGGTCTGAGAGAGAATTGTTACTTGTAAAAATTGAACCCGAGTTATCTCAAGAATCATCACACAGATGTTCATTTGTCACGTGAGCTACTCCTTTAGGTCATTTAATATTTTTGTTTCCGAAGTAGTGTATTCACTATTGCTTGACTTGAAAAATAAGGTAGAGTATTAAATGCAGTATTCTCAGGGATGTTGTGGTTGGAGGGTAAAATGAACAGTTTTCTTGTTGCATACACATAATGGAACAAAATGCAGCTGTTACAAGACTCAACTGAAAAAGGCAGACATTATTTGATATTTGCGTGACTTCCTGGCATTCATTATTTAAGTGTTTGAACAATGAATACCAATTTCAAACAGCCATTTTAGAAGTCAGAAAATTGTTTCAATGCAAAGACAACTACAAAGAAACTAGGCAAAAAATGGCAAAGACTCAAAATGTCCGAACCTAGAACAGAACGAACACCAGCATTAATCAACTTCTTCGATCTTGGGACCTGCGCCGCCTGCAGCAGCAGCAGCAGCTGCTGCAGCTCCCGGAGGTACATCAGCAGCATTCATGCCAGGAGGCATATTAGCACCACCAACTCCCTGGTACATCTTGGCGATAATGGGGTTGCAAATGCCCTCCAGCTCCTTCATCTTATCATCAAACTCATCCACTTCTGCCAGTTGATTCCCATCCAACCACTGGATGGTCTGGTCGATAGCGTTTTCAATTTTCATCTTATCGGCATCACTGAGCTTGGAGCTGATCTTTTCGTCTTTGATTGTGTTTCTCATATTGTACGCGTAGTTCTCCAAGCTATTCTTGGCTTCCACCTTTTTCTTGTGATCCTCGTCCTCAGCTTTGTACTTCTCAGCTTCCTGAACCATCTTCTCGATTTCGTCCTTGGACAGCCTTCCCTTGTCATTTGTGATGGTGATCTTATTCTTCTGCCCAGTTGTTTTATCCTCCGCTGACACATTCAGGATGCCATTGGCATCGATATCAAAACAGACAGTGATCTGAGGGACACCTCTCGGGGCGGGAGGAATGCCAGAGAGTTCAAATTTACCCAGCAAGTTGTTATCTCTGGTCCTTGTTCTCTCTCCCTCAAACACTTGGATTAACACTCCGGGCTGGTTGTCAGAGTAGGTTGAGAACACCTGTTCCTTCTTTGTGGGTATGGTAGTATTCCTTGGAATGAGAACAGTCATAACACCTCCTGCAGTCTCCAGACCCAGGGAAAGTGGGGTAACATCCAAAAGCAGAAGGTCTTGAACCTTCTCATTCCCCTCACCACTCAAGATTGCTGCTTGTACAGCCGCACCATAAGCAACAGCCTCATCGGGGTTAATGCTCTTGCAGAGGTCCTTGCCATTGAAGAAGTCTTGCAACAATTGCTGGACCTTGGGAATCCTAGTTGATCCACCCACTAGGACAATGTCATGTACAGTGCTCTTATCCATTTTGGCATCTCTCAAACACTTCTCAACAGGCTCCATGCATTTCCTGAACAGATCCATGTTCAACTCCTCAAAACGGGCACGGGTGATGGTAGAGTAAAAATCAATGCCCTCGTAAAGAGAATCAATTTCAATAGTTGTCTGGGCAGTAGATGAGAGAGTCCTCTTAGCCCTTTCACAAGAAGTTCTTAGCCTTCTAAGGGCTCTAGGATTTCCAGTTATGTCCTTCTTGTGCTTCCTCTTGAACTCTTGACTAAAATGGTTCACCATTCTGTTATCAAAGTCCTCTCCACCAAGGTGAGTGTCACCAGCAGTGGCCTTCACCTCAAAGATACCTTCCTCAATGGTGAGAAGTGAGACATCAAAAGTACCCCCACCGAGATCAAAGATAAGCACGTTCTTCTCACCCACACTGCTTGCCTTGTTGTCAAGGCCATAGGCAATGGCAGCAGCAGTGGGCTCGTTGATGATACGCATAACATTGAGGCCAGCAATTGTGCCGGCATCCTTGGTAGCTTGACGCTGAGAGTCATTGAAGTATGCTGGGACAGTAACAACAGCATTCTTCACTGTTGTCCCAAGGAAGGCCTCTGCTATCTCCTTCATTTTGATAAGAACCATGGAGGAGATCTCCTCAGCCGCGAACTGCTTCTCCTCACTCTTGTAGTTGACCACAATCATAGGCTTCTCACCAGGTCCAGCAACAACCTTGAAAGGCCAGAGTTTCATGTCACTCTGGACTGATGGATCACTGATTCTCCTGCCAATCAACCGCTTTGCATCTATCATAAAAAACACACACTCACCACGTTATTTCTTTCTATAAAAACAATAGATGGGAAAAGTTATCATATATTCCCTGCATTACAAGATGAAAGCAACAAAATCCTTCATCCAATACCCAATACATCCACGAACAAGCCTATTTAATTAGAGTCAGTCTACAAACTTGGTCTATACAAGACCATTAACAGATAAAATATACATACAAACGTTCACCCGGGCAGTGAGACTTGCGCGACGAAATTAAATATTTGGCGACAGTTTATTACAGACATACAGCATACTCTGAATTTTTTAGTTAGTGTATGAATCCATCAAATCTTCAACCTTGTACGTAAAACTCAGAACAAAAAAGAGGCAAATATTCATTTTCCAGGGCAGACAACCAAGGCAATTTACAGAATTACAGTAATGAAGGAATTTGGGGCGAGATCGTACCAATTAAGGACTTTAAAAAGCTTAAGCATCCACTTATTAGTGACAAAATCATAAACGAACCAATTAAGGACTTTAAAAAGCTTAAGCATCCACTTATGACAAAATCATAAACGTTCACCCTGGCCGTAGGACTTGCGCGACGAAATTAAATATTTGGCGACAGTTTATTACAGCATACTTAAATACTCCGTGTTTCTTTAGTTAGTGTATGAATCCATCAAATCTTCATCGTTGTACGTAAAACTCGAGAAAACACGCAAATATTCATTTTCCAGGGCAAAAAACCAGGGAAATTTACAGTAAGGAAGGAATATGGTGCGAGATCGTACCGAAAACGGTGTTCGTCGGGTTCATGGCGACCTGGTTCTTAGCAGCGTCGCCGATGAGACGCTCGGAATCAGTGAAACCCACGTAAGACGGAGTGGTCCGGTTGCCCTGGTCATTAGCGATGATCTCCACACGGTCATGTTGCCAAATGCCAACGCACGAGTACGTCGTCCCGAGGTCGATTCCGATCGCCGATCCATCACCTTTTCCGGCCATTGTGATCGCTCTGATTGAGAAATTTTTCACAGAAGAGATCTGGAGAAGTTAGGAATGGGAACTTGAAGTCGAGAAGAGGTCGGAGTGAGAAGAGAGAGTCTCCAGCTTTTCTGTTGAGAAGAGAGGAGAACGGTACGGAGCTGAGTGGCGCCAATTTTTTTGTATTCAGTTGGGGACGGTTTCAAACTTCCAGAATCTTCTGGAGACCCAAAGGGTCATATGGTAACTTGGTGACCTGAAATTACAAAAACAAACAAAAATAACTATAATTCTAAATTCTCTGATAATTAAAAAGTAAATTATTTTCCTCTCAAAAAAAAAAGTAAATTATTTTTGATAATTTTTTTTTTAGTATTATTGACCTGTTGCAATTTACAAATGTAGTATTTGTTCATAACTCCTTTCACAATCTACCGAAGCACAAAGAATGAGAAAAAAGAATTTAAAAAATACAATTGAACGCACACAAAGGTGCCTAGTTCACACGCGTATTAGGAGATTGGAGTGGTTGCCAGCCTGGCGACTGCTCCAATTCTCATCCATTTTAAGATTATTTTTGTATAAATTAATTTGATGTTGGAATTCATAAAAAATTTATACAAAATTTCACAAGTAGATATACCCTTACAAACAATTCAATAAGAATTTAGGTATTGTTAATCGTGTTTAAATGTGTTGACAAAGCATAAATCGTGATTAATAAACATTAATTTTAACGATTTTTCATTGTCAATATTAATTCAATATATTATATTATTTTTCATGGCTTCAGTAGGTTCAAATTGAAAAAGTAATTATGAATAGATACTACGTTGTAACAGAGTCAACAGTATTAAAAAATAATAATAATTCTTCTTTATTATTCATTCAAATTTGTTTGAGTTTTATTCTTGATCCTTCATTCAAATTTTCTTGAATTTTTGTACTAGCCCTTAAAAGATTTTTTTTTTTTTTTTTTTTTTTTAAACTCTACATGATAAAGGGTAAAGTAGTAGTTTCATACATCTCTTCCTCTCTTCATTTGCATTACGTTTCAACCCCAAACTTATATTTGTTGCATATAATGTTAATAATGACTTTTTATTGTATTAATTAATATGAAAATAAGTTATAAATCAGCTAAGTAATTTGTAGATAATAAAATGACAGAACTATAATATTGGTCAAGTTGTAAGCCACATTTACCAAGCATGAAACTTGTATTTATATCAATTGAGTCACAATGACTCACTTTGTCGCGTAATTTCAACTAATAAAAATTTAGTTCATAACAAGTACAAATTGTATAGTTCCAAAAGAAATCATTAAGTAAATTGAGCATCTTACCTTGATCAAGTTCATTGTACATAATGTTTTTAGTATGATTTATGAGTTATAATGATATGTCTGCTGTCCTAATATTGTTAAATAAAAATTCCCTACTTTTTATGCTTAATTTTATAAAATTAATTAACAAATTTTTTTTTAATAAAAATTATATAAAATACTCCGTAATAGTGGTACATGGATTTGTATATATACTTCAATATATAAGAGCAATGATACCCCCGACTTGCGACTCGATTCTGTACATCCATACTGCATCTTCATCCGAGGGCTCAGATTTCATCTCACATTCTAGAATCCGGCTTCACGTTCCCCCACAACCTTATACATACACGCACAAACCCGTAGAGAGAGAGAAGAAGAAGAAGAAGAGCACCAAAGCTCCCATCATCATCATCATCATCATCATCATCATCATCATCCTCTGTTTCTCCACTCCATTCCCGCTCTCTCTCTCTTTCTCTTTCTCTCTTCGATCTCGAGGTTTCCCAAAGGTATCTCATTTTCAATCCGTGGATCAATTCATCGATCTCTTTGTTTATTTGAATTCTGTTTTTCATTGAAAAAGATTGTTCTTTGGTGGAAGAATTGTATGATTGTAGAACGTTTTGAAAATTTGGGAGCGTTTTTCATTTTTGTTTTTTAAGGTAGATTCGTGGGTTATGTTTTTTCTTGATGCAATTTTATATTGATTTGGTAGTGTTTTGAATTGTACGAGATTAGGCTGAATCGGTGGACTGTTGCATTTTACTTGAATGCTACAATTTGATATTATTCCGCTTTCTTCTCTTTTATTCTCAATGAAATGATTGTGGAGCAATGTGAAGATGATTCTTTTATTACTTGGGTGTTTGTAGATTGAATGATTTGAAATTGGAACATTGCTAATAATTATGACAGATTGAGTTGTTTTATTCAATCGGTAATCGGTGATGATTAGATCAGACTGAGATTCCATTCTCCATGACAGATTGGATTGTTCATTTCAGTGCTCTCTTATACTTGTTTGATGTGCTACATTCTCTTGAATCTTTGCTTATCATGTTGCAATGCATTAGTTTCTATAGATTAATGCATTGTAATTGATCATTTATGGGCAAGAAGATCACTCTGATCCACCCCCTGACAATAATGATATAAGGAATATTTTTTTGGTTACAAGGATAACCCACTCGAGGATGTGCATTGGGTAAATAATCAGCCTAGTTTGCCGTCTGCTCAAACCAAGAAGGCCAATAGGCTACTCCCACTATGGAGTGGAACATAGAACCTTGGTTGGGGTTGCCTGCCCCCATATGAGGGATTTTTTTGATAATAATAGAGAGTAGAGAGATAGATGTTGGAGATGAATGGCTATCTATCTTTGTGTAATTATTATTATAAGTTTGATTTTTGCTGCAGGAGGTAGCATAAGATGGCAGATGGGGAGGATGTTCAACCACTTGTCTGTGACAATGGGACAGGAATGGTTAAGGTACCATTTTGTGTTGGTTCGGCTATTACAAAGTTGAGATAAAAGTGTAGTCATGGTTTTTGATCGGGTTTTTTATTCATTTTAATGACTAGGCTGGGTTTGCTGGAGATGATGCTCCACGAGCTGTTTTCCCTAGCATTGTTGGGCGCCCCCGTCACACTGGTGTCATGGTGGGTATGGGTCAAAAAGATGCATATGTGGGAGATGAAGCTCAGTCGAAGCGAGGTATCTTAACCTTGAAATACCCAATTGAGCACGGTATTGTTAACAACTGGGATGATATGGAGAAGATATGGCATCACACATTCTATAACGAGCTTCGTGTTGCCCCTGAGGAGCACCCTGTCCTCCTTACTGAAGCACCTCTCAACCCTAAGGCTAATCGTGAAAAAATGACTCAAATCATGTTTGAGACATTCAACACCCCAGCTATGTATGTTGCTATCCAAGCCGTTCTCTCTCTGTATGCTAGTGGGCGTACCACTGGTATTGTGTTGGACTCTGGTGACGGTGTGAGTCACACTGTCCCCATCTATGAAGGTTATGCCCTTCCACACGCCATCCTTCGTCTTGACTTGGCTGGCCGTGACCTCACCGACAATTTGATGAAGATACTCACGGAGCGTGGTTACTCCTTCACCACTTCAGCCGAGCGTGAAATTGTGCGAGACATGAAAGAAAAGCTTTCGTACATAGCTCTTGATTACGAGCAGGAGCTTGAGACTTCAAAGACTAGCTCTTCTGTGGAGAAGAGCTATGAGCTTCCTGATGGGCAGGTGATCACCATCGGTAATGAGCGTTTCCGTTGCCCTGAAGTCCTTTTCCAACCTTCAATGATCGGGATGGAAGCTGCAGGGATCCACGAGACCACATACAACTCTATCATGAAATGTGACGTGGATATTAGGAAGGACCTCTACGGGAACATTGTACTCAGCGGTGGCACTACCATGTTTGGGGGGATTGCTGATAGAATGAGCAAGGAAATCACAGCGTTGGCTCCTAGCAGCATGAAGATCAAGGTCGTCGCACCACCCGAGAGGAAATATAGTGTTTGGATCGGAGGCTCTATCTTAGCCTCACTCAGCACCTTCCAACAGGTCTCTCGCTCCTCACTATCACTATCACTAATCTCAATTCTTTCTTTCTTTCTGCCTCACACTATTTATTTCAATTTCATTTTCTTTCTTCATTACAGATGTGGATTGCCAAGGCAGAGTACGATGAATCTGGTCCATCAATTGTGCACCGAAAGTGCTTCTAGTTTTCTCCAAGACCATCGCCTGCTGCTGGAGACCAAATTTCTTCACTTCTTTCCTACTGGGTCAGGAGTTGACCTTGCAACCTTAAATTTTTTCTTTTAATTTTTTGTGTACTTGTTCTGTCTGGTCGTTCTATGTATGGACGGTGAGAAGGCTGAGAGTTTACTGTTCCAATTCTTATATTTTTGTTGGTTTAGAAGTTTTATCCATTCCTCGAATCCCCCTTTTTAGCTTTTTTTTCTTTTATAAATGCTTTACAATGGCTTTGTTCTACTTATTATTCATTCATAAATTAATGAGAATTTCCTTCGATTATTGTTCATGAGATAATTTTTGGGTTTCTGCTGTTAACTGTGATGTGGCAGTGAGTTTACCAAATATTGTTGCAGATTTAGAGATTATTCGTCATTGTGAGAACAGTTGGTTATACCATAGATCAGGTCCACCTTGCAAGGTGACCTGAGTTCAAAATACACAATTTACATATTAAATATTCAAAATACATAATTTATATACTAAATACAAATATTCATAATTTAATGTTTACAATTTACCTTTTACAAAATTGTGATCATTTAGTATGTAATTTGTGTATCTTGAACTTGAATTTACACAATAATTTGCATTTTGAGAAGGCTTAGGCTATTTTATCTTTGAAATACTCTTTTATTTTCAAAAGTCGATTTTGTCTCCATACTATTAAATTTACAATTTTTCACTATCTTTTATGCATCACTGTTATATTCTTTCACTTTCAAAAGCGGTTTATTTTTAATAAAGTACAGATGATGGTAAATGGCAGTAAAAGCAGGTTGCAAGCTTACAACTCATTGTGACATTAAAACAAAAGAAAAATATTTTTGTTGTTGTTGTTTTTTTTGTTTTTTTTTGTTTTTGTTTTTGTTTTTTATTTTTTTGTTTTGTTTTGTTTTGTTTTTTTTTTTTTTCCAAATAGAACTAGAACCCATTTAGACTTTATTATCCAATCTTGCATGTAGTGGCGGACCCAGGAATTTTTTGCAGCGAGGGCAAAATATTAGTAAAATTGATAATTAGAAAAAAAATGAAACACTTAAAAAGTATATCCATAAATAATGTTGGATATAAGAAAATTATAAAACACATCAAAACATTATAAAAATATTCATAACAAAATATGAATATAATCAATTTGATAAAATAATTTGAATAAAAGATCCATTATAAATTACACATCTCATTTTTTTTTTTGGGTAAACATCTCATCTCATTATTAACATATAAATGAAGATTATATTATTGTGTTGAAACAATATGTACTATTAATAATAGTGAAAAGGTAGTGTTAATAGTGGAATAATAAGAAAAGAAAAATATTCATAACAAAATATGAACATAATCAATTTGATAAAATAATTTAAATAAAAGATTCATTATAAATTACACATCTCATCATTAATATATAAATGAAGATTATATTATTGTGTTGAAGCAATATGTACTATTAATAATAGTGAAAATGTGAAAAGGTAGTGTTAATAAGAAAAAGAAATGCTGGCAATAGATAGAGGAGAATCGAACCCTGGCCTGCATTTTGTCCACCCATGCACTCATCCAACTAGGCCAAGCTACACTTTGTTAAAAATTCTCTATTTTATAATACTAATACTAAAACTTGTACTATATATACACATACATACAAAGGTTATATAAGGGGTAGGGGTGGGGTGAGTGGGGGCAGCTGACCCCACTGCCCCCACTGCCCCCACTGTAGGTCCGCCTCTGCTTGCATGCATCAACCTTATGAAGAGTTTTGACTTTCGTAACATGTACTTACATCAGTAGGTCAATCAGATTGTTCATATCTTAATTAAAGTGGTTGTCTCTCAATTTGACACAAATTCTTGGGATCAAGTCCCTCCCGATTTTATTTTGCCTTTACCCTCTTCATATTAATAATATTCATCTTTTGTTTGTCAAAAAAAAAAAATAAAAAATATCAAGAATTAAACTAATTTTTTCAAATTTAATCTTCAACAAATAATTTCATCACGTTTTTTAAAACTCATCAAAGGATTGTATATTTCATGCTATCTCTATATAATTGTGTATATTTTACCCTAAGAAACTAGTATATACGTATACCAGTTGATTCATACTAATACAATTTCGGTAAAGAACGTATAGCTCAATTGGTTCAAGCCCCACGGTGGGCGCTTTTAATTTTTACAACTTTTTAACCTTCTTACCGTCCACTCAACCTCAACCTCGGAAATTACACAATACCCTCATCTGAGCTTAGTTACGATTAATGAATGGGGCAAAATCACAAGGATTTGAAATAATTCAGAGTGATTTTTTTCTCATGACAATTAAAAATCAAAATAACTACAATGGAAGAATTGAGGGATCACAATCATACTTTTACAAAAGAGGAAATTTTAATTTTGATCATATGACTATATGGGTCTTGTTAATTTCAGTCATTGACTTTTAAAAGTGTCAATTTAGTACTTTAACTATGCAATTTTTGTCAATTTTAGTTACTGCGGCCAAATTTCGCCGGAAAAGTTTTAATAAGTAAAATAATGAGAGTATTTTGGTCGTTTCACGCCTCTTTTCTTCTTCTCCGGCGAGTCCATATTTTTCTCTCCCGTTTCCAGCGTTCTTTCTCCCTCTAAACCCTATCTTTAATATCATCAAGCCTCTTTTCCGCATCATCTTAGTTCATTGCATTCACCAGAAATGGGAGAGGAAGGGTTGGACTCGCCTGGGAAGAAGAAAATAGACGTGAAATGATCAAAATACCCTCAATATTTTAACAATTAAAATTTTCTGACGAAATTTGGTCGGAGTGACCAAAATTGACAAAACTTACATAGTTAAGGTACTAGATTGACACTTTTAAAAGTCAAGAACTGAAATTAACAAGACCCCTATAGTCATATGACCAAAACTGAAATTTTCTCTTTTACAAAATCTGGGGTGTATTTGGTTTATGAATTTAGCTATCAGGAATGAGAATTAAAGTAATTGTTATTGTTTGGTTGACAGGTTTCTAGAACACTACTATGATATTTGATTATCCCATTAATTATAAAACTCGGGTGTGCTTGGTTCAACGGTTTAGCTATCAGGAATGAGAATCAAAGTGATTGTTATTGTTTGGTTGACAGGTTTCTAGAACACTACTATGAGATTTGATTAACCCCTCAATTAGAAAATCCATTCCCTAATAAAATAAGGGTTTCATTCCATTATTCCCCTCCTAATTGGTAATTTAATTTTTAAGTTTGGATTAGTGCTTTTAGATTTTTTTTTTGTTCATATTGGTGCTTTGGATATCTTTATATTAGAATAAATTGTCTTGATTTTTGTTTTTGTATTTTTAAAATCTTTATTTTCATTATAGGATCTAGACCTGACAATTCGTGTATACGGTGTTGGAAAAAGAATAGCTTAAAATGGCATAAATGACATATTAAGTGGCTATTTTGTGGTACAATTATCAGTGGGGTCCACTTCCTATTTGGGTCGGGTCAAAGTGGATTCGGATTCTTCGTAGTAAGACGAAGAGATTGATATATTGTACTAGAAGAGATCGAAAAGGCTTGATTCAAGCCCGAGCTCGCGTGCGCAGGCACCTGCGGGCTAAGTTATGCCAAACTTCGGTATCATTTTCCAATCGATATAGTCACTTGGTTTGGCCGAAACCGAGAGCACCACTCTCGTGCTACAGAGAGACGAGTGTACTCTCGAAAGTTCAGAAGATTAAACTCATCTGTTACTGGAATTAACACTGTTTTAATTCCAATTTTAAAACTGAGTTTAATCCTACTTAGTGGGTGGCTGTTACAGGTGTTACACAATTGGTTTTAATACCAATTTAATGGCCATGTTGAATGCTATCACTCCAACATCCCTATATAAAGAGAGGTAGAGCAGTAGCATTGTACACAGTAGAGAAACAAAGGAATTCCAGTAGCTTTATCCTCTCAAAACTCTGCTTCTACTATCTTCTTTAGCCAATCTGTGTTCCAGCGTTGCTTTGTTTGCCGGGTTCTTTGTTTAGGTGCTTAAACAAAGAATCGTAGCACGTTTTATCCTAGGAAACCTAGGCTACAACGCTCCTAGCACTTGTGGGAGGTAGCAAATAAGGTTTTAAGGAAAAGAACTTTGTGTTCGAACTCGTGCTAACCTTTACCCAGTTTTTCCACCTCTTTTCCTTCCTAGATTTTCTGTTTTCCCATACAATAATAATTTTTCTGTAGAATTATTATTTTGGGACTTTTCAACCATATTACCCAACAATCTTAAAACCTTATTCTCGTTTCCCGTTGGTTGTTATCTCTAATTTCCTAGAAGAAATGGAGAACCTTGGTGTGCCTATCGTTAATCCAGGGGAGGAGAATGTTGTTGAGAACAACAGTGGTGGGAATGGCAACAATGTTGCTAATTCCCAAGCTACACCAGTGAACGTTGGTTCACAAGATGGTGGAAGCACTGAGGGATATATGCCCATGACTTGGGTACCTTCGGTACCGAGTGGTTCGGCCGAAAGACCGAAAAAGTTCACCGGTAGTGGATCGAACTTGAAGAGGTGGCAAAAAAAGATGTTGTTCTACCTGGAAACTCTCGGCATGGCGAGATTCTTGATCGAGAAGGTTCCCGAACTAAGGGAACAGGATGCCCAATTCGTAATGGCAGCTGGCTATTGGAAGGATTTGGACTTCCTATGCCAAAACTACATCTTGAACGGATTATGTGATGCGTTATACGATGTATATCGCAAGATTGGCATAGCGAAAGCGCTGTGGGAAGCCTTGGATCATAAATACCAAAGTGAGGATGCCGGCGCAAAGAAATTTGTGGTTGGCCGATTCCTTGACTTCAAAATGGTTGATTCTAAGACCGTGCTAAGTCAGGTTGAAGATTTACAACTAATCTTTGATGAAATTCGTGACGAGGGCATGACGTTGAGTGAAGCCTTCCTAGTGGGATCTGTTATCCACTTGCTGCCTCCAGGGTGGAAGGACTTCAAGAACTACCTTAAGCATAAGCGAAAGGAAATGAACCTGAAGGACCTGATCCAGCGACTCAGAATTGAGGAGGGAAACAGGATGAATGTTGGGAGAAATCCTGTCACTGTTGGCGCTAAGGCCAATGTTGTGGAGCATGCTAAAAGCTCCAAGAAGAATAAGAAGGACAAGCGAAAGCTAGGTCCAAGTGGAGGCATTACCAAGAACAAGTTTCATGGAAAATGCTTCAATTGTGGCAAGTCTAGCCACAAGTCTTCTGAATTCAAAGTTCCAAAGAAGAAGAACAAGAAGTCT